TGTTGGATCAGATGCTCCAGATCAGTTATATGGACTGCATATGATCTGGATGATCCGGAGTATCAGTCTGTAGGTGGTGATTCGACGATCACATGTAATGGTATATGGGTAGCGAGAGTCCCCCTGATATGCTACGCAATTGTGGAGATGCATCGACCAGACAGAGTAGTACGTCAGTTCGGGATGGTACAACCCATACCTGAACCTCCTGAAAATACTGAGACGGATTTCCGGATGCACGTCAATGCTAACCGTACAGGTGCTACCAACCGAGACTGGAGGCTTACACATGTTTCGCATGTTACCGCTTGGGATAATAGACTCGATTATATTGTTGATTATCCATATGCCAGTGACAGTCAGACTACAGAAGATGGTTATTTTGAGTGGTATGAACTGCACACACGTCGTTTCATATCACCGATTACCCCATCTGATCGTACAGGATTTCAGGTTGGAGGTCAGATTTCAATGGATACAGTGGTACGTATTCAAATTTATTTATTATAAAATTTTGTGTATTATATAATTTTTATTAATGTATGTCTTCTAAAAATAAAATATTTCTTATTACTTATTTCAGATTCAGCATCTTCGATCGTTGATTGTTTCTGTTGATGGCGGAGACATGCCCCGGGATGGCTATCGTTCGTATTTACCGACTCTCAGAACATGTCTTAATGTCTTAGAGTCTCGACACGGACCTTCAGATAGGCCTCAATCTGAGATGCCTTATACTCAGACTCACTCTCAGACTCAGACTCAGATACCACTGTCTCAAATGCCTCAGTCACAGACTCAGATGTACGCTGGCGAGGCAGGAACTTCTTCTCGTGCATATTATCCGGCATTCGATAATTATACAGATCCTAGAGCACACGGGCATCCATCTGGTATGTTTAGTACCTTTGATTTTATTTTTAATACTATCTACAACTGTGAGTTTAATTATAATCTCGTTGATGCAGATCCGTACACCCCATACCCCTACTTTAATCCGAATATGAATTCGGAAGACCCAATTCATTTGGGGTCTACGCATCAGTTTTCGTCTTCGCGACCGGTAGATCATCAGATCACACCTATTCCTTATTTTGAATCCGCAAATTCTTCGAGTGATGAGGATGAACAAGTTGGTAGAGGGAACAGGACTAGAAGGCCCCCGAGATGTGGCACCGGAGGTCACCGTCATTGGTGATATTATTATTGTAGTTTATGTTGGTTATTTATTAAAACTTTTTCGTATTTTAGTTATTCAATAAAAAACAAATTAAATAAACTAAAGGATTTAGAGACAAAAAATATTTCCCAATAATTAGGCATTTTATTTTTATTTAATAAAATATGGAAATCGGACGGAATGGATCGAAAATGCCTTTTTTGGAAATTTTCCAATTTTTTCGGAAGTTAAAAATAGGTTCCAATTTCCGTTCCAAAAAAATCGGAATTTCAAAATCCATTCCAATTTCGGAATACCTCGGAATCGGCGGAATTTCGAAATTTTCGGAAATTGCATTAATTCTTAATGTTTTGTTCCAAAATCGGAAATAATGGTAATTTTTAGTATTTTTTTATAATATTTTCGTAATTTTCCGGCAAAATGCAAGAATCCAAAGCAAAGTTCAATCAAATAAAATTTAAACACTTGTAAAAACAACATAATTGATATATCAAAGCAACTATAATTCTTGCAAAACATCAATAGAAAAATAATTCAAAAACACAATATATATATATATATATATATTTCCAACATGATTATATATATATATATATATATTTCCAACATAATTCAAACATGATTATTTCCGAAATACAATCGGATCGGAAATCGGAATTTCCAATAATTTTATATGTAATTCCAATTCCGTTCCAAAAATAATCGGAAAAATCGGAAATTGGAATGAAAAAATGTTCCAAATTCGTATTATTTTATAGTGAATTATAAAATAAATTGCATAAATAAATGAAGGAAAATTTTTAAAATACAATATATAATTAATTTAAAATTAAAATTCAATTAACCATTCCAATTTAACAATAAAAAGAATTAAGTAAATTTAAAAAACCTTAGATCAAATCCAGCCGTTGATATAAACACAATCCAACGGCTGGTAAAAGGCGTCATATTAAATGACGCTGTAATCCAGTGTGGCGGGTCAAAGGGCGTCGTTTTGAATGACGCCTTTTAACAGCCGTCCATTGCCCAGATTAATCTCTGGCCGTCAGATTAGGAGGACAAGATAGGAGATCTGGCCGTCAATCTCAGCTCAATCCAACGGCCCTTAAAACGCGTCGTTTTAAACGACGCTTTATTGTATTTTTGTAAATAATTACAAAATGACCCCATTTCACAAAAAAAAAAACCGAAATATTCTAAAAAAAAAATGGCCCATTACCAATGACTAAATTCGTTAATTTATATTTTGGTCCCCATACTTTTTCTTGAAATAACTTTTGGTCCTTAACAATTCACAAATTTAGTTTCTCAACGGTAAAAATACGTATTGGTCAATTTGAATATTTACAATTGTCTACTTATTTGAAGATTTTAATTATTCTTTTAATGAAAACTGTTTATTAAATTTATTTAAATAAAATCACATTGTTAGTTAAGTAATTGAGCAATTTATTATTTTTGTGGTATATGAGAAATTTGAATCCTCTCATTTCTTTGTTTTTGTATTACAACAATTTGAAGTTTTTCTTTTAAACTTGTGAAATTTCAAGATCAAATTGAAAATAAATAATGCAGTAAAGGTGAATTATCCATAATTAAAAAAAAGTTAAATTGGTATAGTGGAAAAATAGACGATGGAAATTCCACTTTACCCTTTGTACTGCTCGATATCACTTTACCTCCTACTCTCGATTGCATTGATTTGCCCCCGCACTTGAAAAAATGTCTCAATGTGGCCCTCGATGTTAGTTGTCAGAAATTTAACTTTAACACCATTTGATCTAAGCTTTGAAATTACCTAAATGCCACCTCTCTCAATTCAAATAATTATTAAAAAAAACAAAAAAACATAGAATAAAATAATAAAAAAATGAAGACAACGAGATCACAAATCCACGACGCATGCCACAATTTATTTTTTATCTTTTTAATAATTATTTAAACTGAGATGAGTGATTTTTTTTGTAATTTTCAGACATAGATCAAACCAATGTTGTTAAAACAGGACCGAACCGGCCGGTCGGACCGGTTCGACTGTGACCCGGCAATAAAGCGGTTCGATCGTGACCCGGCAATATATGTGTGTGTGTGTTTTTATTAGTTTTTTTTTCTTTTTTCCTAATTCGGGATTAAAATATCCCGATCGGGATTGAACCAATTCTCGAATCCCAATTCCGTATTTGTTCCTAATCCCGATCCCGAATCCCGTAATCCCGAATTCCCGAAGTTTTAGTCCCAAATAGTATAATTTCAATCGGGACGGGATCCCGAATCCCGATCCCAAAGTCCCACCCCTAGTAAAAAGTGAGGTGAAGTAGATAAAACTGAAAATAATAATTCGGAGATTAAAAATATAAAGAAAATAATATTTTTAAAACATTAAAATTAATAAATAATGGCATAATAAAAAGAAAATCAAAAACCCGGTTGAACTGATCCGACCCTATAAACCCATGACCCAAATGGTCGTCCGGTTCTATAGCCGGTCCGGTTCTGAAAACATTGGATCAAACGATGTTAAGGTCCAAAGTCTAAAAACTAATAACAAGGACCACATTGAGACAAATGCGAGAGTACAAGGGGAAAGTTGAATTTACCGAACAATTATTTACAAAAAATATTGGTCTGAGGCGAGTCAAAGAAAAGTCAAAGCGACAACGTTATATAGCAGTGCATCAATTACCAAAAACACCCTGAAATTGTTTTCTCCGCTTCTTCACGCCCATGCCGTGTCTAACCAAAACCCCTCGCTTTCTCTCTCTAAAATGTCCCCACTCCAACTTCTCTCTCTTCAAAAAACTGAACCTCATTCCTAACTATCGCCGTCTATCAGCAAGTAAACTCCATAAATTGTTCGTTCTAATTCAGTTTTCTGCATACATGATATGAATTAGACTGAATTCCTTCCTTTTCTTTTTGGTGTTGCAGAAATGGAGGCTCAATCATCTACAACCCTTGTTCTATGCGGCAAGTCGAGTGAAGAAAATGAAGCAGCGCGGTTATTGAAGATTAACAACGTGTTGAAACTCCCAGACACTTCTCCAGTAACTGCTGTTCTGCATTCGGAGGCTGAAAATCGAGAGAGAATTGATGGCGGCGATTCGTTTCGAATAAATTCGTACATGAATTTTCTGTCTACTTATCGTTTTGGGAAGCTGCTCGTTTACTCTCCCAAATTAGCTTCCACGCATGATGTTGTTTCTACGTAAGCCTTATGATTATTTGTTTTTCGTTTTATGATTGTCAATTGCTTGATTCGTTGTTTGCGTGAATTGTATTGCACAAGTTTGATTTATGCATGTTTGAGTTATATCCCAGTTTGTGATGGTTTCTCTTAACATTTTTTCTGGCAGTAATTTTTTGGATTTACCTATCGGTGCTGTATGTGTTGCTGACGTGCAGTTCAAAGGCAGAGGTATCGATAGTGTTCACAATGCATATTGGGATTTCAAATTGTCTTTTCGTTATGTTATTTGATCACTGTTTTATTTGGGGTGACTGTTCAAGGTCGGTCGAAGAATGTGTGGGAATCGCCAAAGGGATGCCTTCTGTTCTCATTCACTCTACAGATGGAGGATGGGCGAATTGTGCCGCTTGTGCAGTATGTTGTTTGTCTGGCTATGACAGAGGCGATTAATGATGTTTGTCGAAGAAATGTAAGTGTGTCTACTGAGTGTTGTTTCATTTAGTTCATTCGAATTATCATGTTTGAGTTATTTTCGTGATAAATATAATTAGTACTCAGTATGCAGATAGCTATTTAGTATTTAGGGAAAAAACCTCGGCACTCGTGCTTCACTTATTGAAAGGGATAGGAAAATCAAAGAGAGGGGCAGACTTGAGTGGATGTAAAGGATATTATTTATATTTATGAATCTTGGTAAGGGTTAGTTGATTGGTATTTATGAAGAAGAAGGTTCAGATTAGCTGTAGGTAAACTTATCATTTCTGTTTATCAAGGTTGGTAGAAGAAGTTACATCATTAGCTACAATTGCACTTGGATTTAGAGTTTGAGTGAAGGTCTGGAGTTTTGGCAGTGTTTATTCCAGCTGATTGTCAATATCATTCATAATTTGAGTACTTTACGTGTGAACGAAAGTAATATGAAAAGGTTCTAGACTTTTTAGGTACCCTTTATTCTTAAATGGAGAAATTGCCTTCAAGATTATAATTAAATGGCCTTCTCTTCACTAAAGAAAAAGGAAGCACATGCCTCTACGTCAAGTGTTTTCAAAGGATTATAGATGCAACTCTTCGCCTTTTTGGCAAGTTTCTTTAGAATGTTACACCTAAAAGTCTTTGGAAATACTTGGCACGGAATCACATCTTTCCCCTTTCTTCTCACTGTTTCAGAATTCCCCAAACGTTTCCTTTCATTACATTTTCAGTAACCTATATTACTTTGTCAGAAGGTGCTATGTGCACATTATACTTTAGGACACTATAGGCGACAGTAAGATCAGAGTGCATGAATATCAATCTTTTTGTTGGGTTGCTTGTGAGTTGTTCTTTGACTTCTCAAGAGAAGAAGCAAAAATAGGTTGTTAAGAGTGTTTGATCGCTTTGGATTGTGCAATAATGATTTATCTGTTAACTAACGTTGATTTTCAAACTTTCAGATTAAAACGATATTCTAATATTTCAGGGTATGCCTTGTCTTGATGTTAGAATAAAGTGGCCAAATGATCTATATTTAGATGGTCTCAAAGTTGGAGGCATTTTGTGCACATCAACATATAAAGATAAGAAGTTCAATGTCAGTGCTGGTAAGTACTCTTTTTCTATTGATAATACTAAAATGTAAATAAACAAGTTCCTCCACGTATTCCAAATTCAGTGATACCATTTTCTCACTGTAGAGACTGAGTTATGTCTGGTTATATCACATTGATGCGTTGATTACGATGCATGGAAAATACTATAGTAATAGTCGAGATTTTCTTGTTATTATTTTACAGGAATTGGCTTGAATGTCAATAATGAGAAACCAACAACATGCTTGAATGCCATTCTGCAAAGGTTGGGTTATGTTTCTCACCAATTACAGCGTGAAGATATCGTAGCAGCTTTCTTCAGTAAATTTGAGAGCTTTTATGATATTTTTATTAGTCAAGGTGATCATTTTCCCCTTTTGTCACTTAACTTCTCTAGTTTGTTACTTCTAAATTTTCCTTAAGGTGTTTTTTTCCTTAAGGGAGCTAGTAATGTATCCTGCCTCGTTCAACAATTGAATCTTGTAGTTGACGTCGACTTTATTAGATACTTTCAGAGTGTAGGTTGAAGCTAAAAATCACTCGTTATATCACAAAAAAAAAGGAGAGAGAGAGAGAGTGGATATTGGTGTCAAATTCTGTATACATATTATACTTCTCTGAAGGGCTTTCAGTTAGATTTTTTGAAAAAAAATAAGTATCTCTGAAGAGGATATTAGTGTCAAACTTCTACCGGTCATAGCTTACTCAAACTATAACTATCTATGCCCTTCATGCAGGCTTTCAAGCACTTGAAGAGCTGTACTACAAGACATGGCTGCACAGGTGAGAATATTAAGTGGTAGACTAGTAGTTCCTGCCCCAGTTTATGATTGATGATGGGTGTACATGAAGCATATATTTATTCTTGAAAAGAAATGTGAAAATGCATTTTCTTATGTCTTGCAATAGAGTTATACGTAAAGTTGCCAAGTGCAGTAAGATCAAGCAACAAAATTATAATCTTACATGAATATGAGAGAACTATTTAAGGACGAGTACACTTGAAAGAACAAATGGAACTATTTGCCATACTGCGACTTCTCATATTGTTTCTTATTTTCAACCTCCATACAGCGGGCAACGAGTTATCATACAGGAAAAGAGTGATAATCAGGATCAAGTTTCAGAAAATGTGGTCACAATCCAGGTGAGTTTATGGATAACATGGCATTGAGATTATCTTTCTACATCTCTTTGAATAATATCTTTCATTCTCTACAGAATCCTTATCTCATTCTCTCATACAATTTTATCAGATGCAATATTTCCAACCTCACTTCCAAAAGTTTGATTAAGTGTCTATATCTCTTCATGGAATAAAATAAGATAATATTTGTCCAAGATTCAGTAGAGTGCAATATGAGGAATTTTGTGGAGATTTTGAATACCTTCCATAATTTGTTACTCCATGCTAACTGCCTTTGATTTAATAATAGTTGGTAAATCCTGTTTTTTATTTTACATATTTTTATTCGTTTTATGAGCAAGACGTGGAGTTTAAATTGCATAATGCTATTCAAATATGCACAGCTGTTTTGGATCAATTTAACACTTCAACAACATTAATATGACATATTTATATACGAACTTATGTGCAAAACGTGAGTGGAACTTCTTATGTACCATCCATCTAACTGACTACTTTTGTGAAGGAAGATCATGCACTTTAAATATAAAGGAGTTTTGTGCTCGCACTCATTAACTCTTCAAAGTTCCTAATGACAAGTTGTTTATTCTTTTCAAATAAAGAAGAATTCGACAATTGAAACCTATTCTTTGGCACTAACAGAAATATCATAGACATTGGATAACTAACCAATTTGGTATTTTTATTTTCTGGTAATGTCACGTATGGGTCTAAGTTCATTGTTCAAAATCAAGGGTAATTCTTTGGTTTAGCAGTTCAATACCACTCTATCCTTGTACACAGCCTTAAATTAGTCATCAAATGAAAAAATTGTGAACCAAGCCATCAATAGTTCATTAACCAGTCAAGATACAGATACTGAGCTTTGGTTTGTGGTTACTGGCCAACTGTACTTCTTTATGGTTCTACAGTCGTTGTTAGATCTTTGAAGTATTTATGAAGCAAACCACTAATGAGAAATCAGTTCTTGTTTTTCCATATGTTTGCGTTCACCAACATATTTTATGATTTCTGTACTCAGGGTTTAACATCCTCCGGATATTTATTAGCTGCCACTGAAGATGGTGAGACATGCGAGCTTCATCCTGATGGAAACAGGTGCTCTTTTTTTTTTTTTTCTTAACCAAGACTAGATCTTATGTTATTGGAGTCTTCGGCCCAGTTAAGCAATTGAGAACTAATAGCGGTGCACGGATCAATAGCACTCTGTTTTACACTGATAGGAATTAAATATTGTAGAACAGGCAAATGAATTCTGGTGTGTTTTGATGAAATAACATTTGGTTCTTGATGTGGCAACTGGCAACTATTGGTGAAATTGTACTTCTTCAATTAAGTTTTGAGCATTTCATCGATCCAACTTCAAAATATAACTGAAAATCGTGAAAATGCTTATATTGGTTCAGAACTCTGATGTAAGAATTGATTTTTTTACTACATACTCAACGAGGTTTCCAGTTTTAATTTAGCAAGGAATGCAGTTAATTTCTGCAATGGGAATAGGACGTATAGAAGTGTCAGGCCCGTGATTTTCCTTTATGATATTCTATCTTATTTCGTTTATCCTGATGTGCTCTTTCTTTGTCAGTGCGCATGTAAATTTTGTAGAGGTACATTAACTGATTTGATCTTTCCTGCTTGTCCTTTTTCCTCATTTAAGCTATCAACTGCCTGCCTGCCAGCCTTTGTAAATTTTGTACCCGTGCATGGATCTTTTTCAAAATTCGTAACATGAAACCTGAAAACACTATGAATGCTAGTGTCGATTAATTGAATTCAGAAGTTTTGACAGATTACTGGACGGTCCACGATTTTCTACGTTTATTTCCATCCAATGGCATTTTAACTCCTGTATGTATTTTTATACGTTGTTTGCGTGCATGTCCCATGTGTTTTGTTTTTCCCATTCATTGGTGTACTCACCCGAAAGTATTCCACTTCATCGATCTGACTTCTGCTCCATGTGGTTACAGTTTCGATTTCTTTAAAGGGCTCGTCAGAAGAAAAGTGGCCTAAAGAAGCTTCGCTAATCAGCCTCACCATGTGAATTTGTGAGAAACGTCTCTTTTTTCTTCCTTGCTTTATATTACTTTTCCCCTTTGTCACATTATCACTTAATTTGGTCAAACTTAATCAAATTAGTCGTGTCTAATATTATTAAGTTCGGTTGGTTGGTTCAATTTTTTCGAATATAAGGACAAATTGTAAAATTAGTTTAAGGAAGAAGTTAGTCTACACATGTTAGCTGGTCCACCAAACTCCTGTTGACCGACCTGACACCCTCTTGTTGTTAGCTTAATTATAAATTAATAGTTGTCATTAGGAGTAGAATAAGGATAGTTTGCCCTCTTGTTAGATTGGTTAACACCAAAAACTCTTCAATAATAATTTATATAGAAAAATTCACATGTGGGTATCATTCCGATTCTTTCTCAGTTCAAAGTCGGTCGGAACATTGTATTATTTGTACTTCCCTTCATATTTTATTTTGGATATTTTGACCAACTATAATTTATTTCAAACCTGCTTGTTTAGTGGGGTAGCAATTGCAACACTAGCCTCGATACACCTTAGTACAGATAGACATTCTAGGTTTGCAGATTTTTGTTAATTAATTACGAGAAGTTTTTAGTTATTTGCTTAAATATTCATCTGGAAAGATTCCTGGTAAATTATACCCGTGTGCGCGCGTGCGCCCAAGGTTAGGTAAAATTATGTCTAGGGCTGTTCGAAAAAATTACTCAAACATGGTGAATGTAAATTTGCACCACCACAAAGTTTATGTCTAAAAGGGTTAATTGGCAAAATATGTGGTGACATGATATAAGTACTGATGTAACAATTGGTACATTTGGGAATTTGGTATGGGGCATAACACGCAGTACTTGGGGTTGTTTGTCGGCTGTGTAATATTGGGAAAGAGAAAAATGTTTGCTGGACTTGTCTCCACCATTCACACGATTTTCCTAGGCAATACACTTTATTTTTGTCCTTTCACCTGTAAAACTGTAAAAAAACATACAGAATCATGGGATGGTTGTGTGTGGTTTCTCGTGCAGCTATCGATAAAATCCACGTCATTGTAAGTACTTAAAATAATATTTATTTATATATTCTTGATATTTATTAGTAGGGTAAATTACGGCGACCCCCCTCGGGTTAGATTAAATTACGAAACCCCCTCATGTTTGGGTAATTACAACCAGCCCCTCAATTATGACTATTCTTGCACGTCCACCATTATGGTGTCAAATTCAATAGAATCCTCTAGGTTTGTGGAATGTTCTCTAGTTTATACTCGTTTTGCGCAAAAATGCAGCTTCTGATGCACCATAATCTGATATTTACAAGCTAAGAGACTCATTTTATGATCATGTTGTTTCAAAATGTGAAGGTTTAATGGGTAAAACGGTTACAAACTGGAGAATATTCAACATAATTTAGAAGATTCTACTAAATTTGACACATAAGGGTGGACATGTAAAAAGATTCATAGTTGAGGAGTGCTTGTAATTGCCCAAATGTGAGGTTTTTTTTTCGTAATTTGATCTTACCTCAGGAGTGGCCATAATTTGCCTTTATTAGTATTATAGGCAGATTACATCCACGGGCCACCCCTTGAGTTATGGTCAAATTATGAAACCCCTCCTGTTTGGATAATTACAACCACCCATCAACTATGTATTATCTTACGAAAAGACCCCTTTAAAGGTAAATTTAGGGATGTTAATTTGGTAAAATCGAACAGAAATTTCGGTACGTCAACATTTCATACCGTTTACCGAACTAAATATATGATTTGGTTCGGTAAATAACCGAATTATGTAAAAATATTTAAAAGAATGGGGTGACTGTAATTACCAAAACTAGTGGGGTCTTTTTGTAATTTGGTCATACCCCAGGGGAGTGGCCGTAATTTACGCTAGTATTATTGGTGGATGAGCCTTGTTCGTATGGTCAAAGATCCGATTTATGTTTTGTAGATTAAAGTGTGCGAACAATTAATTAGATTGGATCTTGATTAGACTCGTAATCGTGTTTATTGGTTCCAACGTATACATACATACAGTAGTCGTTGTTTGCATGTTCTGAAGATGATTGCGTTTTTAGTCAATCTTCCTCTTCAACAATCACATGGCTTCCACGTTTTCGTGGACCAATTTTTAGAAAATATTTGTTTCTTGCTAACAATTATTAGTCCAATACCATCATATAATTCTTACCACCCAAAACATAAGTACTATCGTGAAATTTGATGAGTGGAAATTGTTTTGTTTTCATAAAATAATAATTATAATATTGTAGACGTGCGCAACATGTGGGAGCTTTTTTCATGAAAAAAGAACAACATTGTACAAGAAAAGTAACATCAGGTAAAAGCTGTGGCGGAGCTAGCATACTGCGGGGCCATGGCCCCCAACATTTTTCAAATCTTTATTATTTTATATAAATATAAAAAAAAAATTATGCATAAAAACATTAAAGCCCCCTAACTTTTTTAATGCATTTGGTCACTAGGATTTAAAATTCTGGGCTTCACTAGTGGGTCGCAATCGTAGACTAGTAAACTAGCACTAGTTGCCTCGTACTGAAAACAACGTGATATCCATCTAGCCAATCGGTACAATTATTATTATTTTTAAGCAAACACACACTCATATTGGTGTGCAGATAAATAACAAAAATCTACGTGGTATATACTTCACCGAGTTTAGCATAAAACATATCGTAACGTAGTAGCCAATGCAGTTAGAGAGAGATTAGCTATTTCTATTCAATTGCTTTAATAAAAAAGATTAGGATATGAATTAAGTATGAGACTATCCTATATTCCTAACCTATAGATGGTTCATGTAATTATTCCACACGGCATTACTAATTTAGTATTATTATTTTTTTGTTTGATAAATAACTAATATAATATTAATAGTTAGTACTTTGGAGAACCATAGACTGCAATTATTCTTGTCTCTTTACAGCTTTGTCTAAATTTCATATTCCCACCAAACAATTCCATCTTTTAACTTCTTTTTAACACTATTATTTATTTAATCGGGAAAAAAGAAAATTAAATATGAATTTGTTAAAATTTAATTATACTACCAAATATTGAGATTTTTAAAGAACTTAATAATTAAAGATGGAAAATGAGGTTGGCTTTTTCACAACTATAAAAGACAGAGATAAATGACACTCTGGAAATGATATTTCCTTAAATGAAACGTGACAACAATATTTCTAATTTTTATATTATTATTTATTTGTAATTAAATAAATAAATGGGTTGGTTACGTATGAGGAATATCAATCATAAAAACTGTTATGAACCAATAACTACACACTTAACAACTCCCAATAATTTTCTAATAATTAATAATAAATTTTTAATTTAATTTAATTTAATTTCCTAAAAATACACCAATAAATAAATAAATAAATAAATCCTCAAAACTTTCTGCACCCAAAAAATTTCACCGGAAAACTCTCCTTTCACCCATTTTTTGCCGTGTCGCCGCTAACTTCTCTCCCCTCAAATCAACTTCTCTCTCTCCAGTCAACACGGAATTCATATATATATCTATATATCTATATCTATATCGGCACTCCCCATTTTTAGTTAACTATCTCTTACAAGTTACAATTTTTTTTTTATTTTTTTTTTCAAATCAATTTGAAGGTTTTCTCAAACGAATCACGGGGAAGCGGATTCAGAATCGGCGTTCGAAAAGTGATGCTAATCACGCAATGCATTCATTCTGCTGCGGCTCATCGGTGACGATCAACAGCTCCGACATGCCGCCGGCTCCACCGCCACCTTCCTGCAATCCGCCCGCCAAAATTCACAATTCCGCCGCGGTCTCCAGAGCTTCGTCGGCGCGTGAAAATGGGCAGGATCAATGTTCGGGCGGTTCTCAGAATAACATTGGCACCGATCGCAATCAGAATCACCACCACAGCCGCGAATTGAAGATTAACGATATTGTTGGGGATGGGATTTCTGGGATTTTGCACAAGTGGGTGAATTATGGGAGAGGATGGAGACCTAGGTGGTTTCTGTTACAGGACGGAGTTTTGAGCTACTATAAGATCCACGGCCCGGATAGAATTGTTGTTGATCAGGAAACGGAGAAAAGGTCTAGAGTGATTGGGGAAGATTCTATGAGACGGATTTCTCGGCAGAATAGCAATCATCATAGCATTCACCGTAGGAATGGGAGCACCAGTTCTTCGCCCAAAAGCCGAAAGCCCGTCGGTGAAGTCCATTTGAAGGTTCTGCACTTACTTCCATTTGTGTTTGGTTCAATGGATTAATTTGATTTTTCTTAGATTTTATGTAAATGAACCAAATGGCTTGATTAGTTTGTTATCTTGTGCTCTTGGAATGTGATGGTTGACTTTTTTGTGCCTGTGAAAAATGTTGCTCGTAGCGTTCTTGATTGTCGGGGGTTTGCTTATTTGTTTTTGCTTCACTTTGCATGATTTATATGTCTAGGTGTGTGTTTGTAATGAAATGGAAATATGCATCTGTTTGGCCTTTTACAGTCGAATAATTCTCTGCAGGTTTCATCTATCCGAGAGAGTGGATCAGATGATAGGAGATTCTGCATTTTTACGGGGACAAAGAAGCTCCATCTAAGGGCTGAGAGTAGAGAGGACAGAGTGACATGGCTCGAAGCATTGAAAACTGTGAAGGACATGTTCCCGAGAATGTCCAACAGTGAGTTAATGGCGCCCGTGGATAACCTATCTGTGTCAACAGAAAAGCTGAGGCAGAGGTTATCGGAAGAAGGTCTCAACGAGGCTGCCATTCTGGAGAGTGAGCAGATCATGAAGAACGAATTTGCTGCGCTGCAGAATCAGTTGACCGTCTTGAAGCAGAAGCATTGGGTTCTCATGGATACACTGCGAAATTTAGAGGTACAAGTTAAGATTTGTAGACAATCTCTTATCAGTTCATTTCGAAGTTCTTTGTCGTTTTTTTCAAAAAATTCTGCACATTAAAGTGCTCTTTCGATTTTCTTAGGATTTTTGTCGCTGTGTAGCTTGGTCTAGAGAGCTATTTGTTATCTTTCTTGTGCTCTGTAGACTGGCTGTAAAAACAGTTGTGTTTTCCTTTTCATATTATTTGTATATATCACTTGAACTGAAACTAGTTCTTGAATATTAGTGTACTTATCAGTACTATCCTATTTAAATACTTCAATGAATACATGAATTTCTTTTTTAGTACTTTGGTTATAAATTCGCATCATTGAAATTTTAATCATATAATTTGATCACACATTATGCTTAGTCTTTTCCATTTACAAATTGGTTGGAGTGTGTGTGTGTGTGTGTGTGTGTGTGTGGAGCGGAGGGAGGGTTGGGGGAGGGTAAGTTAAGAAACTGTTTTGTGGTGTATGTAAACTGCCAATGCCACGGACAAGGTCTATGCGACCGAAAAGATTTATGTTTCTAGGTGCATCTTTCTGCCTAACCATTTATTCTGATATAATATAGGTGTACTAATTTGATAACAAGTCGATTATATTGTTACTCCTCAATGATTTTTGACTGCACTATCATGCCCGCTAACTGTTGAACCCCAAATGATTGTTTTGTTATGGGAGCTTGTATTCGTTCTTTTGCCTTCCAATGGAAGTGAAAAATTGATACGGAGCCCATGCTGATAAATACAAGTGGTGCTCTTAGCTCTTTTTCTTATACTACACTTGGTTCCCTTTATTTGTTTGGCTAAAACTGGTTTGTGTAGACAGAAAAGGTGGATTTGGAGAATACGGTTGTAGATGAAAGCCAGAGACAGTTCAAAGAAGTTGGAGCATCCTCTAGATCAAGACAAGATAAGTATAGTGGTATGCTTCTCAGCATGTTCTCTAATTATTAACATACGTTTCTCAGCATCTTCTACTTATTTTTAGCTTATATAATTGCATTAAAACCTCATCATGATTTTTCTCATGTCTAAGCTGCACCATTTGGACTAAGTCGATAATTTAGACCCCACTCTCTCTGTCTCTCTATCAAGATCAAGTTTATATTGTTGTATAACTTCTACAAATCTTTAAGTAAAAATGGAAATGTTAAAGACAACATCTGGCTGTTTACATTTTTTGGGTTCTTTTACCTGTGTATTAATGGTTTGAATATTCAGCTACAGCTAATTACCCTTCTTTATACTTCTGCCAGAAAGCGCCAGTGGGTCTGAAGATGAAAGAGTAGATGCAGCTGAGGAAGATACAGATGAAGAAGACAACAGTTTCTTCGACACCAGAGATTTTCTTTCTTCTAGCTCTTTTAAAAGTAACGGTTCTGATTTTAGGACTTCATCTTTTTCATCTGACGACGATGGACTTCATGCTTCTGAAACTGAGGATGGTATTGACCCCGCCACTAAATCTTCTGGAACAAACTTTCCTTATGTTAAGCGTCGGAAAAAATTGCCAGACCCTATTGAAAAGGAGAAAGGAGTGAGTTTATGGTCGATGATCAAAGACAACATTGGGAAGGATCTTACGAAAATATGCCTACCGGTCTACTTCAACGAGCCTATCTCTTCTCTGCAGAAATGTTTTGAAGATGTTGAATATTCGTATCTTATTGACCGGGCTTATGAATGGGGAAAGAAGGTAGTTTTCTCTTTTATGTTAACAATTTAGTTCAAATTCTTTTGGTAACTGCACCGGCCGCATAATATTATTGGAGCTGTTCTTTGTTCATTTGATTTTTAATTTTTGATGTCTTTAGTAGAATTTGTTTCACCTACATGTCACCAAAATTAAGTGTGTATTTACATTCTCAGAATGTGCACAACAGGGAAAATGAGAAATAAACAATGGGACTTGGTTGGTTACTTGGGCCAAACAATTATGAGTTAGAAAAGTAAAGCAGAATACAGATAGTAGTTCATATTGTTTATTGTTTCTCATAATAGATTGCTTTCAGGGTTTGTATCATTTCTTTCTAATCTCATGATTTTCATATCTTATTTTTTCATTTTTAGTTGTTGATCTATATTAGCTTTTTATTATAGAAAGTCTTTTCATTGTAATTACCATTTTCTTGAATTTGAAAACTAATCAACATATGATGATTTGGTTGTAGTCAATCTGATTGTACTATGGGCCATTATGCTTCTCATCTGTCACCATATATCATCTGATTTTTCTTATTTTACTTTTAAATTAATTGCAGGGCGACAGCCTTATGAGGCTTCTAAATGTAGCTGCATTTGCGGTATCTGGGTATGCTTCAACAGATGGAAGAAATTGCAAACCTTTCAATCCATTGCTAGGGGAGACTTACGAAGGTGATTATCCAGATAAAGGCCTTCGATTTTTCTCAGAGAAGGTATCAATTTATTTCAAATATGGTTTCTATTTAACAAAGTGTGCATTTTATTTTAAATAAACGAGTGATAAAGGCTATTTTTCTTTTCGATTAGGTGAGTCATCACCCCATGATTGTGGCATGCCATTGTGAGGGTACAGGCTGGAAGTTTTACGGTGATAGCAATCTAAAAAGCAAATTCTGGGGTAGGTCCATTCAGCTCGATCCAGTTGGTACTCTAACTGTTGAATTTGATGATGGAGAAGTCTTTCAGTGGAATAAGGTATTGTCGAAAATAATTGGAATATTTTTTCTCTTTAGATTTTGCAACGAGAACCTTACAATACTCTGTTATGACAGGTAACAACATCTATATACAATCTCATTCTGGGGAAACTATATTGTGACCACTATGGTAACATGCGGATACAAGGAAACCGTGAATACTCTTGTAAACTAAAATTCAAGGAGCAGTCTATCTTAGACAGAAATCCTCATCAGGTACACTCCCTTATCCAGCAATGTCTATTTTATGATTCTACTTTTATCGGAGCTAAAATTCAATTTATCTTGATGGGTTGTTTTTTTTTTTTTTTTTTTTTTTTTTTGACACTCAATCGTAAACTAAGTGAAGCTGGAAATTCTAATAGAACTTTAGCAGATCATTGATGTGACTATAAATAAACTTATATGTGCATTCTTCTGAGAATTGGACCATAATTCGAGTATGGACATCATTATTTAGACAAAATGAAGAGTCGAGTATGGACATAACTCATATTTTACCTTTGAAGTACTTGAAAAATTCGAAACAAACTGATGCTTTGAGATGCGTATTAGGTGCAAGGGGTTGTCCAAGACAAGAGTGGAAAGACAGTAGCAACCTTGTTTGGAAAGTGGGATGAGAGCATGCATTTCGTCCATGGAGATTACTCCTCCAAAGGAAAAGGTCATGAATCTCTATCGGAAGCTCATTTGCTCTGGAAAAAAAGCAAGCCTCCAAAATTCCCGACGCGGTATAACTTGACACGGTTTGCCATCACACTGAATGAGCTTATGCCTGGACTGAAGGTAATTTTTAGTGCAGACTCACTCAAGATGTTCGTTCATGTGTGAGAGATTTTTTTTTCGTTACCATGTTATCGTGAAATCGCTTTGTTGAGTGAGTTATATAGTCTCGATCTAACTGATCTTGAAATGCTATTTTTACCGGAAATAAGAGAGAAACGTTACTTGGTGACCATATTTTTTTACACTCTGGTCATCGGATCAGTTAAACTGAAACAGAATTACCTCGATTTGCAGGACAAGCTACCCCCAACTGATTCAAGGCTGAGACCTGATCAAAGATGCTTGGAAAATGGTGAATATGAGACTGCAAATGCTGAAAAATTGCGTCTTGAGCAACGTCAACGCCAGGTAATCCATTTTTTTTTCTTTTTTTTCAAGATTCTAAGGAATCGAAAAACTTGGTACTCCGTTTTGGTCAATTGCATTTCCTACAGAATTAGACATACCTGTTTTGATTTGAAAGGCTTTACACATTCTTCAAATGCATCTTAACTGAACATACACAAATATCTTATTTATCCACCTGGCATTTGCACTTGGTTTTAATTTTATTACAAACTGATTGAACGGGAAACTCAGGCTAGGACAATGCAAGAGCAAGGCTGGAAACCTCGATGGTTTGCCAAAGAGAAAGGATCTGATACTTACCGTTATACTGGTGGATATTGGGAAGCTAAGGAACAGGGCAATTGGGAATCGTGCCCCGATATATTTGGTCAATTACCTCCTTCTGATCACATTCCAGACTAATTAAAAAAAAGGGGGTTTAGTTCTTGATTCGAGTCATTTTTTTTACTAGGAAAAAATCGAAAACGGATAATATATTTTGTCGATAAGAGCTGCAAATATGTTCATGAAATTTGTTTATAGTGGTTAGATGAAGCAACCAAGTTGTTTCTATGATAGATAGATAGAGAGTGTGTACTTTTACCCCGAAAGCTTTTTTAGCTATTTTTTAGGCCTTCGTTTTCCGAGGCCTTTGCTCGAATTCAGCAGTTTTCTGTTCTTCTCTTGTTGTGAATAATGTTTTAGACCTTGCTTTGATTCTATTATGTTGCTCTCTAGTTTTGTAGTTATGTGTGATTAACAGTACAATCATCTGTAACGAAATCAACCGTTTTACCCAATTTTTAATTACGTTAAATGCCATCGTCTTACGTAAAGAAACGCGTCGAAGGAGGGATGCGACGTCGTTTTATTCTTCTGCATGAAAATTATTCTCTCTTTTTTTTAATTTTATTTCTCTTATATATGCAATAACCTAACATCATCTGATTAGTAGTTCTGGAACGTTTGAGTCAGCAATTGAATCAAACTAATAATATGAGATGACAACAAAAATACAAATAACAAAATAGAAAAATAAAATAAAATAATTGAGTTGAATACAAGACGAAACGGGTCGGATTATCTTGTTCAATGTAACCTTTCGGACTGCTCGGCCCAACATATATTACCTTACCCTTATCAAAATAGTAGATTGTCGGGTCGGGTCGGGTAAATTTCCGGATACCCGACCCGACATCCAAACATGATTTAATTCGTTGCAACATTTACGCTACCCGCAAAACGACGTCTCTCCATCCTCAGAGGAAACAATCCCCCGTCGTCTGATTCAAACTCCATAACCTATGCAGCTCACCCTTGAATTCGGGTACTATTTTTTCCTCAATTCGAATTTTTATTCTACTGCAAACTGTTGTCTGTAATTCAAGATTTTTTTTTTTTTGGGTGTGAAAATGTTATTTTGTTAGGGTTATTGGTGGTGGATCCTAGTTTTTGCTAGAACAAGCTTTTAGCCCTAGATTGTATGCTCTTTTTGTAGGCATGTGGTTGAATTAATAACACAGTGGTGGGTGCCCATTGCTCTAAATTTCTAGGGTATAAAAAATGTGATTGGTATTTTATTGTGAGACAAGTCTAAAATGCAGAAATCGTCGAAACAGAATGATTTTAATACGTTGGGATGATCGAATGGAAGCATAACACTCTAATGTGCATTGTTTAAAAAACAAAAAAGAAATCGTGATCAACCGAAATTTTTTAGGCTCACTGTGCTATTGTGCACCGTTAATATCTTTAGCTATTCTGCACCGTTAATATCTTTAGCTATTGTGCACCGTTATGTTTGCATCAGGCTTCTGTTTCTGTTTCTAATATACATGTTATGGAATACCAGCGGTGGACTGGAACTTCTGTGTGAATCTGTAAAGATACATGAGGTGACTGTTGACCTTGAAGCTGAAGAAACGAAGGTGAATCTCTTTTGCGTTGACTTTACATTTTTTAATAAGGAATCGGAAATATATCTTACGTGTAAGTAACTGAATCACATGTTGTTTGGTTTTCGACAGTTAACCATGAAGCAATTGCTCTCGTGGGTACGTACAAATTTGATCAAGGAAAGGCCTGAGATGTTCATGAAAGGAGACACTGTGTAAGTAGTTTAATTCTGTTTTAAGTTTAAATCTATGTCTATGCATCGAAGATTACTGCATTTCATATCTTCTTATGTTAACATCGCAATGTTTTTTTTGACAATCCTAGTTACTTTTTCAATTGTGGCGAACCGATTCGGATTCCGCTGATTCCAATCCGAGATTTCCGATTTTGGAACAATGTTTTTTTATTCCGATTCCGATATTTTTTTGGAATGGAATTGGAATACATATTAGGTTCTGATTTCCGATCCGATTTTAATTTCCCAAAATTCCGATTTTTCTTTTTTTTCGAAAAATTACACTTTAGGTCCTTAGGATATCAATATTATTATGTATTTTGTAATATAGGTTACCTAAAAATTGGAATTTCCGAATTCCGCGATTCTGATTCTAAAATTTCCGATTTTCGAACAAGTTTTTTTTTTTTCCGATTTCCATTTTTTTTCAATCGGAATTGGATTTCCACTTCTGGAAAAAAATGGAATTTTTCCGAAAGTGCTAAATCCAATCCGATCCGTCCGATTTCAACCCTACAATTATCAACTCTTGTATTACCTATAGTGCTGATCTTTATTAAGTGTTATCATTTTATTGCATTATGAATCGAACACTTTGGTTTCGTGTTTCTTAGGAGACCCGGAGTTTTGGTCCTTGTGAATGACTGTGATTGGGAACTAAGTGGGCAGCTCGAGACAATGCTCGAAGATAAAGATGTCGTTGTTTTCATATCAACGTTGCATGGTGGATAAAATAACCTATTTACCTCCTCATCAACCAAACCATCATATATATTCAGAACTCGGATTAAATCGTGTAAGGCTCCTGATTCTAAGCTTTCGTAGTTATATATCTAAATCCAGACCTAATTACTCTCTGCTTTTAATTTTTAAGTATTTTGGCACTCACGCACAAAAACACACACAGACACGCGGTCTTGATGTGGACATAGATTTGTTCGTTTTGGTTCATGCGGGCTTCAAGTTAGGAAAGCAACGTTGCCTATATCTGGTAATGGAATGATTTGGTGTGGAAGTTTCGAATATCATGTCAAGTTTCGACACGTTTGTGCTATATGGGTCGTGGGAAAACATATTTCTTTTCGAAATTGTATGCTTGTCTGAAAATTTCAAAGTCATACAGAAAATTGAATAGGGTTGCAAAGGTATCTTTTTCTAGATGTGATGTTATGTTGGGTTACCAGAATTGTGGCTGCCCAACTCCACACCACATGGGGTTACCATATGTCTTTTTATTTTTATTTTTTTAAATGAAAAATAAATAAATAAAATTGGTTCATGGGCTGGAAAAAAAAAAAAAATACCCTTTGCTTCTTTTTTCTTAGGACTCGAAAACAAGACGAGACGCAATTGACACAGTTGTCTTGTTGAAATTGTGCTTCTCCGTGGCAATGTTTTCTTAGGTCTCGATCTCTTTCGACAATAGTCACCGTCGTAGTCTTCGTTTCGTTTGTAGGAGATAAGCAATCATTAATTAAATAATTAGGTTTTATTTGATGTTAGGTTAGCGCATTAACTTTTCGGGCAATTCCGTAATTTTATTTGTTATCGTGGTTTGTTGGGGGATTGTGTATTCGACTTCTTCTAGTTCGATTATACAATTGTGTTCTCGTGGGATTGCATAATCTTTATCCTGTCTTCAATTTGTTGTTGAAGACCAATATGTTTTCTTTCACATTGCATAAAATGATATTATTGATATATATTTAATTACGTGTGTTACAAAAGATACGAGAAATACAGTAGAACCACGATAAATCAATAACCTCGTTTAAATAATCATTTATTATGGTCCCGACTACATAAAAATGTATTAAACTATTAGCTCGATAAATTAATAGATTTTTTCTAGTTGCGATTGTATTTAATATATAGAGGTTTAATTAAAACTATATATAAATTTGAATAAGAAATGAAGCAATTGGGATTCTTTGATTTCTGACAAGAAGATCCTACAGTTTATATTAAATTCCCAGTCACAACTGAGGATAGGTCAAGTCAACTTACGTAAATGTTTATTATATAATTATTATGCTTATTATCATTATTCTTTGGGTTTTTGTTTACTTTGGCGCTAATAATGTTTTATTTATTTATTTATTAATTTTATTATTTAATTTAATTAAACCGCTCTTCTTTCCACACAATCTGATGGACGTTTGATGGATGCAATGCTTTAAGATTTCAGATTTGACATCTGTTGTTATCAATCAGACCAGACACAATATAACATTTCAATTCTGTTCTTTAATTTTTAATTAATATGATTAAATTGCTATTTTCTAGCTTCAACATACTTTATTTCATGAAATCAAATATATATATATATATATATCACACACTCAACATAAAAATTCCAGATAAATACAACGAAATCGCACTAGGTTAACCATGTGCGAATGTTGACAAAATGATTCGAGCCTGAATTAATTGACACAAGATCATATGTTTAAGTCACTAGGAAAAAAGACGTACCCTACAAGCAATATATACCATGTGAGACAAATAATTCATTTGTTGATAATATATATATATATTTCGAAAATAAATAATATTCATCCCTCCAACCATCACTCTCCAACCACACACATACCCCCTAAAAAAATATTAATAAAAGTAAAAATAATAATATCATGATCAACAAAAGAAAAATATATTTCCAAACATGATTTGATAGCAACAATTGAAGAAAATCAAATATATGATGTAGTAATAATAATAATAATAAAAACCCAAACATTTTATGATCACTAGTGGAGGGGCATTATAGTCACTTTCATTAATTTTCAGGTGTCCCTCCAACTGCAAACCCTAGATAGAGAACCCGGCCCGAATGAAGCTGCACATGGAGTGTGGGTCATTTCATCACGTTCTTTTGGGTCAAATTCCCACCATCAAACACCCACTATTGTGTTGGTTTCTGTGTGTGCATGTGTATGTATCTATCTATATGTTGTGTGTATATATCATATATGTATATTTTCTTGCTTCTTTTTTTTCTTTTTTTTCCATTTTCATGGCTGTGAGTTATGTATATGATTACATGGTTCAGATAATCCACTTTTAAAGTGAAAACCATGTTTTCATCATTATATAGTTGGATTCAATAGTGTTTCTTGTTTGATTCTTTGAATTTGAATATATATAATACATACAATTATATATGGATAAGGTTGGAGAATTATATATTTTCTGTTGTTTTAATTTTAATTGTGGCATTTTGGTCGGCAGATTAATGTGGATACATTTGGTCATTAGTATATCAATCACATAGATATATGACTAAATTTGGTGATTTTTTTGTTTTTTTATTTTAATAAAATGTTTTCATGAAAAAAAAAGAAGAAGATTTAATTTCAATTCATAATCCAAAACACGCTTCTTGGCATTCCACGTGGGACGAAAAGGTCGTTTTTTTCTAGTGAAATCTCGCGTGGTTAGCACGTGGCACCATGTAAATGGTTTCCAGTGGGGCCCTTTACATTTGTCGACCAACAGTTTTTATTAGAAAAAAAATGGTGAATTGCATTTTGCACCGCCAAAATGTCATGGATTGGCATTTTGCACCCTTAAATTTTGGAATTGGCAAAATGGACCCTACAGCTGTTAGAAACATCACAAAGAAAGAATATATTTAAGGGGTCATTAGCAATACACCCCTCCTATAGATAAAAAATAGCGATATGTCCATGCCATAATTCTTCCTTTGTGAAAACCCCCTAAAATATTTATTTCCAATCTTACCCTTATACTACTCACGTTTTTTTAATAATTATCTAGTATTAACAAAATTCCTATTAATAAGGCAACTAAATCCCACGTTTTTTTTAATAATTATCTACTATTTACAAAATTCCTATTAATGAGGGCCTAAATCCCGTTAATTAGGATTAATTAGTATAATTTATCTCAATTATTTCTTCTTTCTCTCTTTCCATAATAACAATTTAATTCCTAAAAATCGGCTTCCAAATTCCTAAAAATATGCTGCCAAATAAAAAACAAAAGTATTTTCGGACTTTATTTTTTTATTTTTTATTTTTATATTATTTTGAGACTTTATTTAGCCATTTTTTATGTATTTTTATTTTAATATTTTTTAATAAAAATAATTTATTTATTTATTTTTTATTTTTTTTAACAAAAAATTGAAAATTTTCTCTCCACAGGTTTGCAACGCCGAATATGACTATAGTTGAATATGACTATATGTGACTAAATTAATTGTAGTCATATTTTTTCTTTATATTGTTGTTTTTTATATTTTGAACTTAAAAATTCCGATTATATGGCATAATCATGTTTACCAAATCATATAAAACAACGAAGATTCCCTATTGTTTACGAAAACAATTCAATCAATATAATATCCACACAAAAAAATCAATTTGAATCTACTTACTAGAAGTCAACTTGAAAACGAGAATATAGATTATATTCAACAATAGTCATATTCGAATATGACTACAGTCATATTCGAAAAAATACATAAATATGGCTATAGTCATATTCGAAGTCAAACTGCACCACTTATCAGCGACAAAGCCAACGAGGTCTTCATACACAAAATCACCCTGACATATCTTCACCCCTCACGAGCCTCCATACTTCAACACAATCATCAAGGTTGACGACATGATGTGCAGCACTACACACAAAAAAATGAAAATGTGACTACTATGTGACTACTTCTGATGAATAAATCTGCACTACTCTGTAAATGCAAATCACATAATATTATGTGAATTCAATTCAACCACAACAAAACACATTGAAACCATAACAAACACATCGAAACATATCAGGTAACGCAAAAATACATAAATATGACTATAGTCATATTCGAACATGACTATAGTCCTGTTACTGCTATTGTTCAGACCTGGAAAAAAAATCGAAAAATATAAAAATAATGAAGGAGATTCATGGGGAGTCGACGACAACGGCGATGCTGGCGGCGGTGAAGGAAAGAGAGTGAGAGAGGCGGCGACGGTGGTGGTGGTGATGGACAAATCTGGAAAAAAAAAAAAAATGAGATAGATGACGAAAAGAAGAGAAAGCGAGCCTTACGTGGAAACGAAGGAGGAGGCGACGGCAACGAGCGATGACGATAATGGTTGTGTATAAATCTATGTGGAGACATGACGATGTAAATAGAGAGAAATCGAGAGAAACAACGAACACGAGAAAATAATAAATCACTAATCGAGTGAATCAACAATAGTCATATTCAAACCAGAGTAGTCACGTTGATGCTGCTGTTTCAGATTTTGAGAGAAAAAAAAAAGAAAAAATCAAAAATAACAAAAAGGAGAGAGGGGGAGGCGACGAAAACGACGGTGAATGACATAGAGAGTGGAGACGTGGCTACGGTGGCGGTGGTGAACAGATCTTAAAAAAAAAAAAAAAAAAAAAAAAAAAAAACTGAGAAATCGAGAGAAAATGAAAAAGTGAAATCTCCATGTAATGCATACGACGAAGGGCGGCGACGAGGTGGTGGAGGCACCGCCGCCACCACTTGTACAGATGAGGGCCTCTTTCATTAGATTTCGACCGACCGGCAGTTGAAAGGTATTTTTTGCTCCGGCGATGACGAGTGCACGAACAACGGTGGCTATGGTGAGTGGACTACGGCGGTGGTGTGAAAAAGATGAAGGAGGGCGCCGACGGTATACAGATCTGCAGAAAAGACGGAAAAAGAAAAAAAGAAAAAAAAAAAGACGATAGATTGAGAACGAGAGAGAGAGAGAGAAAAAGAGAGAGGGAAGAATGAAAGACTGAAATAAATTAAATCACGTTAAAAACCTAATCACATAAGGGCACTTTAGTCTTATCATATCTGGTTAGGGGGGTCTCACTAATTAAGAATGAAACTTGGGTGTAGGCAAAAGTCTCTAATAGTCAATTGGGTTTAGTTCAAAATATTTTGCAATTGAGGGGGGTATTGCATATTTCCCCTATATTTAAATGCTAAAATATCGCGATATATTGATGATTTTGTTAGAATATCACAAGGCAGAGGTGTAGGGTGCATTTTGCCATAAAATATGCAAATTTAGGGGTGTAATTTGCTAATTTTAAAATTTAAGGTGCAAAGGGCCAATCATTATTCCAGGGTGCAAAATGCAATTCACCCTCATACTGTTCGTTTTACCTGATATAGGAAATATATCTATTTAATTTTCCAAAATTTTTGTATATGAAAGCCTAGAATAATAGTGAAAAGAATTTGAAACAAAGATACATGTAAAAGATTAATAATAAATTAAAAATTGAAAATAGATTTAGTGGTTCTTATTTCAATAATTTTGAGGTGATATCTTCTGAAAATAAGGAATATGATTTACAGTATGATAGCAAAATGTTTGCAAGAAAAAAAAAAACCCTTGAAGTAAGGTTAAATTACAAAAACAGCACTCATATTTGGGTAATTACAATTAGGGTTGTGCATGGATCGGTTTTAACCATCAACCAACTCATTACGCGACCCATAATTTGTGATGGATAATCAACCATCAACCGACCCATTTACGTTGGGTCGATAATGTCAACCAACTCATGTATAGTTGGGTCGATAATGATTTCTAATATGCTAAAAAGTTGGTTAGTCGAGTAATATCGGCCAACCAACTTTGTTTATTAATTTATTATTTATTAATTTTATTTAAAATGTTTAATATTTTTAATTTCAATTTTCTATTTTATATCACATTTATTAAATTGTCTAATATTGACCAAAATCCTAAAAGCAATAAATCTAACATAATTATCTAATTTAAACTATTTTAATTTTAAGACATACATGCTAAATATTTGGACGATTATTATTTGTTGAACATTTATGTTTAATTGCATTACATATGGCCCGTAATATTTTGATTTTTTTTTTATTTGAATATTATTGAACTAGTTATATTTAATTTATAAAAGATATAGAGTTGTAACAACTAATAAAATATTAAAAAAAAAATTAAAAAATATTTAGATGGATAACCCATCAACCAAACCATTAAATTGGTTTTCAACCATCACCCAATCTATGTAAATTGGGTCGATAACGGTTTCCACTTTTTACTAAAGTTGGTTGGATGAGTTGAGTTGGTTTTATGGCTGTTTTTTAATCAAACCAACCAACGCACAACCCTAATTACAATCATCATCTTCAACTATGTATTATCTTACACGTTCATCCTTACGGTGTTAAATTCACCTACCGAATGAGGGGTTTAAAAAAAAATACATGGTTGATGGGTAATTGTAATTACTCAAACATAAAAAAGTTTTTCGTAATTTAATCTTAACTCACAAGTGACTGTATGTGAATTAAAATATAGAAAAAATATAACAGATATTTCATCCGTTTAGCATCTATAAGACATTTGGGGCCTTAGTCATTAATATGATCTTTAAAATGGTGACCCATTTAGAGTTAATCATAAATAGGGGGGTCATGTTCAATTTATGAAAGTATAAGAGGTGGCTCAAATAGAATTTATGATGCACCATCACCACCACAATCTAACTATGAAAATAGACAACTCTATAAACAATACCTATGGCTCCCTTCTATTTAAAACTTGGCCTTATTTTCTTCCACTAATTCTACAAACTTATATTTATAATAATTTTATTTAATTTTATGACTTTATGAATTTAATTTTATTTAATTCATTCAAATGGAGATGAAGAAAAAAGTTAGATATGCAGAATAAATGATCATATATTATTAGGGTTTAATTGAAGAGGTTATATAGTGAGGGGAGATGCTAATTCTCACATTTTCAAGGTGATTATAATGTAAATTGAGTTGTTATTGATCCTATATTAAGGGTTAGGCTAGTAATTAATTAAAGCGTGAATATTTGTCTACTCTTAAATCGTTGAAACGTTTTTTTTTCTCGACTTAAATCGTTGAAAACTTTGAGTCTCATAAGAATAGCACATAAATTTCAACTTAACGTATCCGCACTTCGGACAAGTTTCGTGTTCGAAACTCGAGGACACATGACGTACACTTTATGGGCCATTATGCAATTTATGAAAAATTAAAGACATGTTTGAATAGCGAATTCTATATATTTTTGTTACTTCCCTATTTATTTACATAATATACTGATATTTCATAATAATATTTACTTTTTATATATTTGTATGAAAATATATAAAAAGAATTTATAAATAAATAAAATCTTATATTAGTTTATATAGCATATTTATAACCTATACTTTTGATATTCACACGTTTCCTCAAAGTTCCTGCATCTCCATTTTTTGCACATGTCGTTTTCGTTTTTATGTATAGCCGTTTATGTGCCCGTGCAATGTATTATATTTGACATTGAACTAATAAACTAAAAGCCAAAAAATTAAAATAAAATGGATATTAATTAGCTGAAGAAGCAAGCGTGTTAATCGCCAATTAGGATCCATGATTATGGGTGATCTACTACTAATCCCATACATATATATAATTACATTATCTACCAACCTGATTAAACCACCTTTGTATAAAGAAATTAGTTAAATTAATGTAAAATGGTGTAATTAGAGTTTTTAATTTTAATTTTTTATTAAAAAAATGGTGTGATTAGAGTTGAAAATGACAATTAGTGGCATTACAGCCTATTGTCCAAAGCTCCAATAATATGGGCAGCCCACATAGGTAAAAGTGGGCCACAGTGTGGGCCCCCACACTTGCTCCACCTAGGTTTTATCTTATATTTTATTATTATATATACTATCATTTTTCGCACGGGATATTATTTAAATAGTGAAAAAAAATCAATTTAATATATAATAAGAAAATATAGTACACTAATATAGTAAAATTTAATAATGTAGTATTATTCATATTTTATATAACATTAGCTTTTTTAAATCTTACATATTAAGATTTATAATCCAAATAAATAGACTAAGATTTAATAAATCGAACTTCTAGCTTTTTTTTCTTAAGATTTAAGATACATTGATAAAAAATAGGAGATTAATAATTGTTGAAAATTATAGTTAAAAAATTAGTAGAGAAAAAACATTAAAAATAAATAATTATATAAGTACCAATAAGATAGAATTCTTCAGGGGTTAATTTTAATTATAATAATTGTTAAAAATTATAGTTAGAAATTAATAGAAAAAAATACCATTAGAGTTTTTTAGGATTGCCCAATAACTTTTTTTCAGCTTAACAAAAATTACAAACAAAACAAATTATATTCATCTTATTATAAGGTCTGAATTTTAAAAAATATAGAAACTGGTCAATTTTTATAGGTGTAAAATATTTAGTAACATTTGTCACATCACACAATATATGTAGCTGTAATTTTTCTAGCCACACAAATTATTTGGATTACAAATTAGGAAAATTCATCCAATCAGAGGAAATCAGATCAGCTGATTTTGTTTATTATAAATTGAGATGTTAATCCAATTAGTATTATTTTAAAGTTGACATTGTGTAATTACAGATAGCCACTATGCATAATTATGCTGCTGTTTTGGATCATTGGGATCCGATTTATTTAATATTAATTAATTAGCTTACCACCCATCTTCTTAATCACTCAATTAGGTAACAATGCTAATGAATAATTAATAATTAACCTAAAACCCGGATTTTATATTTTATATATATATATTCAAAATTAGTAATTAAGAATAAAATTATGAAGACTTTTATTAATTTACCAAACTTGGATTCTGGAATTATATTAATTAAAAAAATTGAAAAAGTGCTTTTCCTAGCACCAAAGCTGTAAAAGAATCGTCAAACCTTGGATGGTTCACCTAAGACATTATTAACATATTAATAAAAAAAAGAAAAAAGAAAATGGCAGTTTGGTAATAAAAAGCAAAAAGGGGGGCATTTTAGTACAAGTAGCGAATGACCTGTCGTGCCCTTTTTCACTACCTAGGCTATGCCGTCACGTCACGATGAAAACCAGAGTACATATTCCTCTGTTTGGGTAACTGTTTAGCAGCTCTATTTGGAGGGGTATATTCGTCATTTCACCGCCTGTGGGAAAAATGAATATATTTAGTAGGGACGACGACGATTCAGTGCTGTGTGTATGTATAGATTGTATGTATAGTATAGGGTAAAGCTAAAAAAACGTTTTTCCCAATGTTGTGAGCTGAAACAGTGCAACAAATGCAAACGCCGGCTAATTTATTTTACCAAAATCTTCTCTCTCACACAGTTACACGCACTCCACCATTTATTCACTCTCTCTTCTTTCTCTCTCTTCATTTCTTTTTGTCCTCTATGCTTTTTATATAGTTTCTTGTTTTTATTCAATTCAGCTCTTTCATCATCCTTTCTCTCTCTACAAACCTTTCCTCTACTCTTCTGTTTGTTAGGATTCCCCAGCTATTCTTTCTCCCTTCACAAGCCAAACCCAATCTCTCTCTCTTCTACGAAAATAGGGCCGGCGGATAATGCTGCCGGAGCTGTATTTCCCAGCCGTCTGTAAAATTTTCCGGCCATCGTTGAGTCCAACAACCCATCCAAGATTTTGCTTGCCCAGATACTGAAAACCCCTCTTTGTTTCATCTCTGGATTCAAAACGGAAAATTAAAAAAAAAAAATGCCGGAGACACTTTTCCGAACAAAGCCAAATGGGGAGATTTTCGATAGAGAGGAGAGATTAAGCGATAATAATCATCCCACCAGCATAACCACCACCACTACGCCGAGATCAGTAATCATCGTTCCTCGAAGCAAATCACAAGCCACCTGCGGGAGAGGGACACCCACTTCGGCAACCGAGTGCAACCCAGTCAGTATTCTCGAGAAACACCTACCGAACGGAGATCTGTACATCGGAACATTCTCGAACAACACCCCCCACGGATCGGGCAAGTACCTCTGGAAAGACGGATGTATGTACGAAGGCGATTGGAAGAAGGGGAAAGCTAGCGGCAAGGGCAAATTCTCCTGGCCGTCGGGCGCCACTTTCGAGGGCGAGTTCAAGTCGGGTCGGATGGAGGGTGCGGGTACTTTTATCGGGTCGGACGGCGATATGTACAGAGGCTCCTGGTCTGGGGATCGGAAGCACGGTTACGGCGTTAAGCATTACAGTAACGGCGATTACCACGAAGGGCAGTGGAAGAGGAATCTACAAGATGGGCAAGGGAGGTATCTATGGAGCAACGGGAATGAATATATCGGCGAGTGGAAGAGCGGTATGATTCATGGGAGAGGGGTTTTGGTTTGGAACAATGGGAATCGGTACGACGGGAATTGGGAGAACGGCGTTCCGAAAGGGCACGGGGTTTTCACGTGGCCGGACGGTAGCTGCTACATCGGCTGCTGGTCGAGCGGTTCTTGTAAAAATACGAACAAGGCGCAAATCTTGAACGGCACTTTTTACCCTTCACACAATGGGAAGAATGCTGTAAATGGAGATGGTGTGAAGGGGTATTTCAGTCATAAGTTATCTGCGCCGTTGATGGTTGTTGGGGAAGATAGTATGAATGCGATGATTGGTGGTGGTGTGGGTAAGAAGAGGTCGTCGGTGGATAGTGGGGTTGCGGAGAGGGCGTTTCCGAGGATTTGTATCTGGGAATCGGATGGCGAAGCGGGGGATATCACTTGCGATATTATCGATAATGTGGAGGCGTCGATGTTGTACACGAATGGGTTTTCGTTGAATAGAGATGGGATTAAGCAGTTTCGGAGAAACCCTTGTTTTAGTGGCGGTGAAGCGAAGAAGCCCGGACAGACGATTTCGAAAGGGCACAAGAATTATGATCTGATGCTCAATCTCCAGTTGGGTATTAGGTAAAAAAACTAAATTAAACTAGTGTTGATTGTAATGGGTTTATTGTTTTTATGGTGTTGTGTTGCGATTTGATTTTTAATGAATTGGTTTATGTTGTTATTTAGGTATTCTGTGGGGAAGCATGCTTCGATACAGAGGGATCTTAAGCATAGTGATTTCGATCCCAACGAGAAGTTTTGGACTAGGTTTCCCACCGAAGGTTCGAAAATCACACCACCACATCAGTCGGTTGAGTTTCGGTGGAAGGATTATTGCCCTGTGGTATTTAGGTAATTAAAATTTTCTTGAATTTCAATTGGCTAATTAATATCTTTCGAGTTTTATTGTTTCGAGTTGTGTTCTAAAATTGTGAACTCTTGGTTTGGGTTTATCAGACATTTGAGGGAGCTCTTTCAAGTAGACCCTGCCGATTACATGTTAGCGATTTGTGGGAATGATGCTCTGAGAGAACTTTCTTCGCCTGGCAAAAGCGGAAGCTTCTTCTACTTGACGCAGGACGATCGGTTTATGATCAAAACTGTCAAGAAATCGGAAGTCAAGGTTGGTTTTGACTTCTACGCCGAATCTGAGTTCGATTTAGTTTCGGGTTGATCTCAAATTTTGATGCATGGTAAATTTTGTTTTCAGGTGCTTATCAAGATGCTTCGAAGTTACCACAAGCACGTCTGTCGATACGAAAATTCTCTCGTGACGAAATTTTACGGAGTCCATTGTGTCAAACCGGTTGGCGGTGTCAAGGTATAAACTTAATTTCGATCAAAGTTTTTCATTCGCTGTTTACTTTTTACAGTCTTGCCATATAAACTAACTTATATATCAATTTGTCGAACTAGACTCGATTCATTGTGATGGGAAATTTATTCTGTTCGGAGTATCGAATTCATAGAAGGTTCGATTTGAAAGGATCTTCCCATGGCCGAACGACAGGCAGACCTAATGGAGAAATCGACGAAACCACAACTTTAAAGGATCTTGATTTGAACTACGTGTTTCGATTAGAAACCAGTTGGTATCAAGAACTTATCAAGTAAGCATATACGATTATTTAAGTCTCTTTTACTCTGTTTTATCAATACGGAATTTATTCTGACTTTTTTTTTTTAATTTGTTTCCTTTAGACAAATCGATCGGGATTGTGAATTCTTGGAGAAAGAACGAATCATGGATTACAGTCTCTTAGTTGGTCTTCATTTTCGCGATGATAGCACCGGGGACAAAATCGGGTTATCACCTTTTCTGTTACGCAGAGGTAAATTTTCGCTATATCAATTAATTAACTTTTTCTTGATTGACATTTTAATTTGTGCAAATGTGAAGATGGCAGCTTATACGATTTTTGGCTTTTCAGGAAAGAGTGATTCATATCAAAACGAAAAGTTTATGCGCGGGTGTCGTTTTCTTGAAGCGGAATTACAAGATATGGACCGGGTTTTAGCTGGCAGGTTCGTAATTAATAGAGTTAGGTTAAAGATGATTAATTTTCTTTCGTTGAATTAATTGGCACGACCTTTCTTGGTTAGGGGGTGGCAATATTTTAGAGTAGTTTACTTTTAATGATTCGATTTTAAATCTACAATTTTTTTTATCAGGAAACCGTTGATCCGATTAGGGTCAAACATGCCGGCACGAGCAGAGCGAGTAGCTCGAAGGAGCGATTTCAATCACTACAATCACGGTAGTGGATTCAGCAACTTCGCATCGTCGCACAGCAGCGAAACCTACGAAGTGGTCCTCTACTTTGGGATAATCGACATCTTGCAAGACTACGACATCAGCAAGAAGCTCGAACACGCTTACAAGTCGCTACAAGTGGACCCCACCTCAATCTCGGCCGTCGATCCGAAACTGTATTCGAAACGATTTCGAGATTTTGTCGGGAGAGTATTTACAGAGGATAGGTGAAAAGGAATTCTCCGAAGGAAAGAAATGAGTATCTTTAGATTCTTGAAGGAATCTTGAAGATTCCCGGCTACATATATATGGTATTGCCGGCGACTCGGCGAAGAGACGACGAAGATATATTGGCAGCTGAATTTTTTTAGGATCAGCTTTGGTGGATGTAAGTTTGGTGAATTTTTTTTTTTTTTTTTTTTGTAAATGAAAATGTTGGGGGTGGGGGCGAGAAAAAAGGGTTTTTTGTGGGGTTGATTATAATTTTGTTAATTAAAGAGTAAATTATTGGTGTAAGCACAAAGGAATGTGAAAGATAGGCATAGGGAACAGAGCATCTGTGTGTGTTTTTCTCCAAGAAAAAAAAGATTCAAAATTTATTATTGGAGGGGTTGATTTGAATAATCAAAGTGTACAGCTTAGCTTACAAAGTGAAAAAAAAAGAAGTTGAATATTTTATGAAATATATTTTGTAATATTTCCTAACTTTTTTCATATTTATTGTTGTCACTCTCATTCTCTCTCTAGAACATGAGAGAGAGAGAGTTGCTTTTGTTGTGTACAAAACACATAAAAAGAAGAGAAAGCAAGGTGGTGTTTTCTTGTTTTTGCCTACTTTGTTTACTATGAATACACCCACCCTCTTCTTTTTACTGTAGATTTAATTTATTATTTTTAATTTAAATGAAAATAAGACTATTTTTATTTTTTATTTTTAATTTAAAAAATATAGCAAATGCAGACCATTGACCCAATATCTGGTCCCCCTCTCAAAAATTCAGAAACCTAGAACACACTTGCCACGTGTCAGGGCTCAGTTAAAATGAATTCCTCGGGGGTAATTTGGTCAATTTCAAGTTTGGTGGGGCCCATTGATTTGTATACAAAGACACAGTAGTGTTTGTCTCCTCTTTTTGACCTTAGGATCTCTTTTTATGGGATCTTCTCTTGTCTATTACCTCAGATATCCTAAGCATGGCTCTCTGTAATTTTTTCTTTTTTATTTATTTTTATTTTATTTTTCATTAAACATTTTATATTAATAATTTGTCCATAAAAAATAAAGAAAATAAAATTAAGAAAATTGTATTAATTTGTTAGGCGACAACCGAATATTGACGAGGTTACATAGTTTAATATTGTTGTCAGTCTTGAATCTTGCTTCTCCTAGATTAAAATTAAAACTAATTAATTAACCCTAGACTATTTCATTAAGAAAAATAATAATAAATAAAAGGGTAAACTACACCGAAAACTAACCCCTCATCTTCTTACATGTCATTCATTATCGTGTCAAAATTTAACAGAATCTTCTAGATTCCGTAGAATGTTCTCTAGTTTGTACTCGGTTGGTGAAAAAATACAGTTTCTGATGTACGACACACTGATATTTTTAAGCCAAGAGACACATCTTGTCTTAAAAAGTGGAGTTCGAACGGGGTAAAACGACTACAAATAGGAGAACATTCTACGTAATCTAGAAAATTTCATTAATTTTGACACAACAAAGATGAACATGTAAGAAGATTCATAGTTGAGAAGTAATTGTAATTAATTACCCAAACATGAATGTTTTTTTTTGTAATTTGACTGACCTCGGAAGGGTAACCGTAATTTACCCTAAGTATTTTTAGTAGTTATCATTGTATATTCATAAAATAAAATGCCATCCACTTGAATCTTGATTTTCTTCATTTTAAGTATCTTTCTCAAGCCATTATTAATTTGGTGGACCTTGGTTCTCTTTCAAGCAATTATTTGGATTTCGATATAATACCGATAGTAATATATATAATAATAGTGGTAGTAGTAACATTAATAACAATAATAATAAATTAATAGTAGTAGTAATTACAATAATTATAAAAATAGGTACACGAACCTTATACAGTTGACATGCATATGCTTTGTTGTCAACCTAATCTTTTTGCCAGCTCTACATCTGATACGTATGTAGACAAAATATACAATATATCAAGAATTGATTTCCTAATTTTTTATTAAAAAATATATATAAAATCAATTACAACTTAAACAATTTGAACCAATAATTGCACAAAAGAAATTTATATTGAGGTTTGCGTAGAAACGTGTCAACTTATTATGACTCATGTACACAAAAATATCCAATATTTAGTATAACTGCAAAAATGGGATTTAAAAAAACCCAAAAATAAATAAATAAATAAATAAAATTAATTAAATAGCTGTAGAGGGTTATGTAGTTTGTGGCCATGTGATATTAATATGGAGGTGGGCATTTTATTGGGACATATTCAGAAATTAAATATGATTTGACAAAAGGAAATTAAATGGTTGGTCTTTTTTTTTTCATTTTTTATAATTATTAATGTGTGGTGGATGATGGCGTTATTATTCAAGAAATACTATTCAAAATATTTATTTATATAAAATGTTGAATTATTTAATAAATAAGATGAATGGAGTCATGCAAATGCATCTAACTTGACTCCCCTAAAATAGATATTGACAAACAAAAGATAAGAATTATAGTGTCATAACATTATTTCCAATATTTTTGTGGAAGTCAATTAGTTACATTACATGTATTTTTTTTTTTGGTCAATGATTTAGATGTTTTTGCAAATTGCATATTAGTAGATATTATCCTCACACCTTATTGCTCAAGTGGTACATGAGCTGAGCCGCTTCGACAAAAAATCGAATTCAAAGTAGAAGTTTTGGAGCTCGAACTCGAGTTTTCTGAGGAGTCGAGTCTGAACTTACTTTTAGTTGTTTTATGACAAGTTGAGCTGGCTCGCAAACTTTTTTTTTATGAAAGAACTAATATGAAATCATGATTTATAATGATAAAAACCTAATACACAAAATATAACGGGCTCAGGCTAGAGCTCGAGCTCAAAATATAAAACTCGAAGTTGAGCTCAAGCTCGCCAAAACAGTCAGGCTTAATTCAAACTCAGCTCGTTTATACCCTTACTTGCAACTCAAGCTCAAGACCGATTATTCAATGATAGTGATTAAGTCAAATTATCAACTATAGCTAAAAACACACACTTGTTAAGAATGTACTTAATTTAATAATTTTAAGTGGAATTTGACTTCCCATGTTTCCAGTTATGAGTTAATCGTACAACTTAATTAGTGGAAACCTATGTACATTAGTCATAATTAAGTTCCTAAGCACATAATTAATCCAATTAAAATAATTACACATGAATAAATTATACACTATTTACCATATGAAGTGCCCGAACAACGTGCCATGCACTTTTACCCTTAGGTCAATGATTTGAATATATGGTCTTATCTAATTATTAATTATGCATTACTCAATTCAATTTTTTGATTGTCCTGCATATAAGTGTCAGTGTCTATTTTTATATACTTTTGAAACCCTAATGCAAATTTTACAATTTAAAAATTCAAATTATTTATTTTTTTGAAAATTTATGAAGTTTATTAATTCATTATTAATTAAAACAACCTAATAATAACAATAAATGTTTTCGTGCAATATTAAAAAATCTGTAGAAAATTAATTGCTAGTTTCAACAATGGTGTTACGTTGAAAGAATAGATGCTCAGGTTTTTGCATAACCAGATAAAGAAATACTTTCACTTTTGGACTTGCACTTCATGCCTGAAAAGTATATTTATTAATTTAAAAAAATAAAATAAAAATAAAAAATAAAATAAAATAAAAACCTCACTTACAAGATTACATGAGTTGTACGAAAGATCTTGATTTGATTTTTAAATTCAATATATAAATATAAATTGGACAAATAAAGATATTACAGGGGCTTGTTTGGTACTAAATTAATTATTTATCCTTAAATTTGAGCGGCCAGTGGCAGGCATTGAAATAGTTACTGTTTGGTGCAGCAGTGTTTTTATTAATTAATGATGTTTTTTATTTATTTATTTATTTATTTATTTATTTTTTGTTTTTTGGGGATCAGAATTACTTAATTGGTATTAGCATTGATTCTGTACGTATAGCTTTGATTAATGTGCTGTTGCCCTATTTTGGGATTTCTTTTTCATATTCTTTGTTCAGTATATCTGCCATTTTTTGACATTTATTCACTTTGGAATTTTCAATTTTAAGTAACAGACTTTCTTTGCAAGCTACTTTATTTTTTAATTATTGTTCCTAAGTAAGAATTATTGCTCATTAGTATTAATCATATTTTAAACAGGAGCAGATTTCCATAATTCAAGATTTTTTGTTTTGTTTGTGTGTCTAAGACTCTAAGTAGTATCTTAGTGGGTTTTGTCTCGGGCTGTAAATGAGCTGAGCCGGCTCGTGAACTCGGTGAGCCGGTTCAACAAAAGTTGAACTTGAGGTTTTCAAGCTAGCGAATTCGAGCTTTTTCATGTGCCGAGTCCGAGCTTTTATTCTTAGTTGTTCGTAACTCGTTGAGCCAGCTCGTGAGCTTTATTTATTTAATTTATTTATTTTTATTATAAATAAATTAGTGATAAACTCATATAAATAATAAAAATAAAATTGTAGTTCATTTATTCTGTAATTTGTTTATTATAATTTATAATAATAAAAACCTAATAATATTAATAAAAAAAAATAAAAAAGTACCAAAAATGGGCGCATACCGCCGAAACAGTGAGGATCGACTCGAGTTCAGTTTGTTTACACCCCTAGTCTTGGCTCATCGATAATATTAATAACGATGTACATTTTGCACCAAATATTAATTGACAAGTTATTAATCTCATTTCTATAAGAGAAGAAGATAAGAATAATAAATAAATAAATAAATAAAAACCAATTTATGTCTTTACAATATAATTGGGGCAATGTGAATGTAGATAGGAAAAGGTTAACAATGACAAAGACAATTCATATGTATATATATATATATATATATATATATATATATATATATATATATATATATATATATATATATATATATATATATATATATATATATATATGTTTGTGTGTAATTGTTGCATTTTATTTACGTCCAATTTCGATTAATCATTTTCGGTCCAGTTTTTCTTTCTCTGAGAGAGACTATTCATACTCTACTATATTTATCATCACTATTATTCAATTTCATCCAGAATTAATTAATTTTGGTTTTCGAATATCTTTTACATTATTATTAATTTATTATGTATACTTTTATTATAAAAAAAAAAAAAAAAAAAAAAAGGCTCGACCATGTATAAGACAATACGAAAATCAGAAATGCTAAATGATCAAAAGGAATATCCAAGACATACATATAAATTGTGAACATAATAAAAATTGAAACGCTAAATAAGAATAAAATAATATCTATTAATATATATTGTTAGTATTTATGGGCCCAATATGTATTATTCTGTGTGACTAGGGCCCATAAAACTACTAATTGAGCAACCCAAATATTGGAATTGGCTAAGTAGCCAACTTAAGACCGGTTTAAGTGGTTTGACTGATCTTGATAAACAGTTCAAAAAAGTTCGGCGACCTCGCTCGCCCCCACTTCTCTCTATATCTCCTTTTTTTGTTGTACCTTTGTTGCTTTTTCATGTTGTTTTCCGACGATTTTCTTCGATGTTCGTCGTCGTATCATGAAATGCATTAATGAGAAGGCGGCTTTGTTGATTTTTATCGTTATTTCTTGTGCTATAAAACAAAAGATCACGAGAGATAGAGATAAAACATTGTTCACTCTTCTTCTCTTTGTGTTTCCTATCTACGGCATTGGTTGTGAGTGAGGGTAACTCGTGAGCTAATTATTGGCTGAGTACTTGTGAGTAGACTTAGCGAGTTGAAGGATAGACCTATGATTTTTGAGTTTAGGCTTTGTGTCTGATACCGTATTGGACATGCCACTTAAGTGAATTTCTGGGTGTAAACTTAAAGGAAATGCCAAATATAATTCGAATGTACAATATTCTTATAAATTCATTGTATTTTTCCACTTTATAATTATATATATAATATACACACACACATACACGTTATTATATGTAGAGATCCATGCACACTAGGTTTAAATTCCAGTTTCAATCATATACACATACATATACAGATACAGCAATCAAACGTTCATTTTCCAACAGTTATGTTTCTGAATTAAAGAGATTTAAATAAATAAGTGGGACACATATATACATGATGAATTGGCATAAGAATTAATATTCTCACATTATGCATGGGAAATTATACATCCACGTAGCTAAGTCGACGTGCACGCTAAGTTATATAATGAACACCATCCACCACTCAAATATATATTAATTACTCCCATACCTACATATATATAGTTTTAATTACGCATTTAATAATATTTATACATCCTTTTCACACTCTGAACCCCTAATAATCTCTACAACCATTTTTATTTTTCAAAATAAAAATAAAATAAATAAAAATAAATAAAACAATTTAGTTGTCGATCTCTTTCAATGAAGATGTATAAGCCAACATAAATAAATTAAATTAAGGATATGTTGGGTAGAATTGCAAGCATTTTCCAACATAAGGCTTGTCCAAACCCAGACAAGGCCGCCTTCAACTATTGAGTAATTAATTAATTAATTAATTAATATTAAGTGGACATTAATTGTGGAAAAGTTAAAGTCGGTATTAATTATTGTGCCGTTATTTTTTTTAATTATCTTAATGCTCTTAATGGAGTAATTTATTTAATTAATTAATTATCAAATGTAGCACACAATATGTGTCGATTGTGCGCATTAATTTGAATTTATTGGCCCAAAAGTGTAGAATTTATGGTAATTCCAATTTCCAAAGAGTGGAAAAATAAAATAAAATAAAATAAATTTCATTATGGTGCTCTCTAATTTGCCTACAAGATTATGGTTACGATAGTATTGTATAGTAGAGTACTCAATATTCCACTTGAGTGTGATGATATTTGGTGGGCTTATAATTAGGATTATTATTTTTAATTAATTATGAAACTCTTAATAGATAAATAAAAAAAATAAAAAATCATGTCCACTTCCAAGATTGGAAAAGATTTATGATGTCCACACCATGTAATTAATCTAGATTTATAACTTAAAGAGTGGAATGATTGGGGGCACCTTGTCTAGTGCAATAAGAATTTCCATCATTTTTTATTTGATTTTTTCTCTAATTGCCCAAAATTGTAATTTAACCTAATAAATACAGTAGAACCTTGATGAAACCGTGTTTAATTATTAGTTTGATAATTTATATATTTTAGTAAATTAAAAGAATTCTGCTAGTTTCGTCTATGTTAATTTATAGAGATTTAACTATATTTTTAATCGTTATGCCTTTGAATGTCACGTTTGGGGTAGGTGGAATAATAAATTCATAATCATGATCTTAATTCTTAACTTAATGGCAACTCTCCAACCCCATATTAATTATAAAAAGGGTTTATTCGTCTTCTAGATCAATATACCTAAATTAAATAGTCAAAATTTAATTTTACTTTCATATTTATTTAAAATAGTTTAAGAAATATTGATGAAAATAATGGATGAAGTAGATACGTTGAATTGAATTATATTTCTTTTAACATAATTTGCATCCATTCAAAGTGCACTGGATAAACTTCGCCCTCGTACAATAACTTGCAAATTGAACGAGATATGTAATTGAATTGAATTCGATTTTTTTCTTATTTAATAAAAATATTCGCAAACACTCAAAGTGCACTGAATAAACTTCGCCCTCGTAAAATAACGCGTCGACTGCACGAGAAATGTAATAAAGTTGAATGTAAACAAGGCTAACATCAAGTTAAGCATGAGGTTCCAAGAGGGGGGACAACCTCCAACCATTTCATTAGTTTTGCTTTTATTATTTAACTTTTTTTCTATTTTTTTTATGAATTAAACAAAATAATTCAACCCTTTATGAGCCATAATTGTGCAACTACCTTCATTAGATTAGACAGCAAAGCAAGACCATGATGGTGTCTTAAAGTGCTCGAGAAAATTAAATATATACAAAATAAAACCTTTTAATAATAATTAAAAAAAAAAGGAAATTCAATTAAATACTGAAAGTGAAGGGCCATTTGGGCTCAACTAAAACACTTGATTGACAATATGAAAGCCCATTGGGCTCAACTAAATAAGTGCAACTACATTTTGGTCAAAGCCCATTGAGCATATGATATGTTTTGGTCAAAGCCCATTGTGTATATAATATATGTTTTGGTCAAAGCCCATTGAACATATAATATGTTTTGGTCAAAGCCCACTTTCTATCTTTTTATGCATTTTACAATTTATTTATCTGTTGAATTACGAATTAATATGAATATATGATTTGAAGATATCAAAGGAAATGAGGGATGATTACAGTTTTGGTCCATATATAATATACAGTTTTTAATTTTGGTCCTTAAACTTTCTGTGGCACGAAATTGGTCCTCAAATAACCAGTTTTAATTTATTACAATTTTTGTACACTGTTTGAATTCGATGTTAGTCTAGACGAAATAGTCACGTGCAAGGCATGTGACAATGCACTAGTAACTTGTGTTACTTTATAAAAGATTATGAAAATATTGTCCTAATTAATTTATAAATAATCATCTTTATAAAAGATGAACTTTGGAGGAAGAGATTGAAACATCATTAGTGTAATAGTGTTGGTTTTTGTGTTACAGAAATATATTGAATCAACGGTGAGATATACACATGATATATATTTTTTGTATCTATATGATCTGGCAGCATGCAGCTAGTATATATATATATATATTTATTGCTTGTTGTATGTATTATCAGCTTCACTCTTTTGTATATCGTCTTTTTGATGGTCAGAGAAATGTTTAAGCTGAAAAGGGAAAGAGTCAACGGACTCATCAAAGGCAAATATCTGTTGATCAGAAGCATGAATTTATCTCAATAATTCACATTATTTTGTTTAATTCGTCCTCTAGTATTATATAATATTTAATTTTCTCATTGATTTCCCAAAAATGATTTAAAAAAATAAAGGGTAATTAAATCAAGAAAGACAGCAAGTTTTCAATCTGTCTGTGAAAATGTTATATATATATATATATATATATATATATATATAATGAATTGATGAAAAACCCTAATCATCAGAAGTGGGAGTAGTGGGAACAGTGAATCTTTATGCAGAGAGAGACAGTCCAATTTTCATGCAAGAGAACGTACGTACAAAAGCATATAAAGATTATTTGAAATTAATTAATTAAATAAATAAATAAAAACAATATTTTTTAAAATTTGGAAACTGAAAGAAGCAAAATATCATCTGACAGTTATTTTTTTTTAATTTAAAATAAAACAAAATTAATTATTTTTAATCTAAAAGGTACTGTTATTAAAAGCAGAACAGACACATTTTAACTAAATTATAAAAATAAATAATAGTAATAATTATAGTGGTGTTATTAATTAAAAAAGAAAAAGAAAATTGGAGTTATTTGAATAAAGAGAGAGTATTGACAAGGGTGGAAGTGTGTCAGCAAAAGATATGGAGTGTAGAGACAGAGTTTGTAAGTATTATCTGATTCAAATAAATAAAGCTGCAATTTATTTATACACCTGCCGCCGCCTTAGCTTCATTTGTTTTGTCTTGTGATCGTATATATATACGCATTTAATGTATGCTATTATTACCGTACTTCCTCAATATTCCCATTGTCCAAACTCAATTAAATAAATAAAAGAAATTTGCATTATCCATTATTCAATGACTAAAAATACTGCCCCTATGTGTTTAATTTTGCTCTTACACTATCAGAATTTATTACAAATAGTAAAGGAGAGGAGATATTTTTGTCACTTCTTATATTTTATTTAATGTAATGAATGCACCTTCATTAGCATATCTTACTAATAGATATGCATATGCATTAGTCCAAAAAAACCAATTAGAATTGAAAGGAATAATATATATACATATATATATATATATATATATATAGATGTTATTTTAACATATGTTGAACAATTAATTATAGGTAACAAATATTATGTATATAAATTTACATCGATCATATTCACATAGTAAAATTAAAAAAAAAAATGAAATATAAATAAGTAGAAAATTCCATGTACATCTCATATATAGTATATATAAATTCAGTTTAGAAAAAGAACTTGTATTATCTAATTTACTTTTCCATTTTATTTTAGTATATATATATATGCATGATATAATACATAGATGAAGTACCCAATGGGAGTGTACGGTACTCTCACTGTGATCATCATCCATATATATATCATCGCATATATATACATACATGTGTGTGTATATATATATATATATATATATATTGTAGCAGAAGAAGCCAAAATTAAAGGAGGGGCAGCCATTAACAAAAACCCTGATTCTCTCACTCCTCTTTTCTTTCTCTCTCTAGATTTGTGATCTGAAATTTGTTGAGCCATGTGCATCAACCTCCGCAAGAAACCCCTGAATCCAGAAGCTCTAGAGTGGCGTCCTAAACCACAGCCGCTGAAGCACCACCAACCCCTCCTTCCACATCTCATGCTATCGCCACGTTCTCCGCCGCCGCAGCAGGCGGCGATGGTTGTGCACTTCATGATCACCCCAATACCACCCCACTACCACCACCACCACCCATATTTTGTCGTTGTCCACCCACACCACCACGTACTGTACGACAAATCTTTTCCGGCGGCGGCGGAACCCATTTGCGGCGATGAAACAATGTCTGTTTACTGTGACGAGAAGGAGGTGGAGGATATTCCGACCCGGATCCGGAAATGCAAACGAATATTCCCTAGGGTTTTACGTCTACCCCCTCGTTTACGCAGAGGCGATTTAACACGTGATGTTCGCCGCCTGGATGAAAGAAAGCCCTCTCCTAAACAAGAATGGAGGCCCAGGAGGAACAAAGATTCCAGCAGCCGCGGCGGCGCCACCCTTCTCCGGCAGCCGCCTTCTCCGGCGCCGTTGGCTGGTGATGGGTTTTCCCGTTCATCACAAACAACTGTTATGATGAAGAACATTCCTAACCATTTGAGGTATTTTAAATTATTTTATAACCTCAATAAATAAATAAATAAAATGAAGCTTTTGGGATTAATAATGGCAGAATCCAGAAACATTAATATAATAATTAATTAATGTAATGCATGTCATGTAAATCAGTGATGTGTATACATCGTACTTGTGGATCCCGAATAT